GGCGGATCTCTGTGAGTTCGAGGCCAACCTGGTCTCCAGAGCGAGTGCCAAGACAGACTCCAAAGCTACACAAAGAAACCCTGTCTCAAAAAAAAAAAAAAAAAAAAAAAAAAAAAAAAAAAAAAAAAAAACAAACAAAAAAAAATCAGCAATGCTGACCTGCAGTTGATAGTGGATACACAGGAAGGCTCAGCCAGGAGCAGAGGGCTCACTTGCTGAGCCCAGCTAAACTGATACTGTGCAGAAGTGTAAGCTAAGTAAGTGTCCTATTTTTAATATTTTTGCATTTATTTGTGATGTATGCATGTGGGCATGTATGAGCCACAGCACATGTATGTGGCCAGAGGACAACTGGTGAGAGTCTGTTGTCTCCTACTATATTCTGGAAAATGAACTCAGGCAGTCAGGTTTGGCAGCAGGCAAGTGCCTTGTCTTAGGGTTTCTATTTCTGTGAAGAGACACCACGACCACAGCAACTCTTATAAATGAAAAACATTTAACTAGGCCTGGCTGCCTTACAGTTTCAGAGTTTTAGTCCATTATCATCATGGTGGAACATGGAGGCATACAGGCAGACATGGTGCTGGAGAAGCAGCTGAGAGTCCTACATCTTGCAGGCGACTGGAAGTGGTTGTCTGAGACTACTGAGCAGTAGTATCTTGAGCACATGAGACCTCAAAGCCACCTCTACAGTGACACACTTCCTACAATAAGACCACACCGACTCCAACAAAGCCACACCTCCTAATAGGAGCCATTTTTTTTTTCAAACCACCACATGCCTTTACCCACTGGGCCACCCTACCAGCCCAGTAAATGTTGTTTTAAGGTATTGTTTGGGATGGTTATCTGACAGTTACTGACAGCAACAATCTCCTAAGGCCATGCCATGCTCTACACAGGGTCTGTTATCTCCCTTTTACCAGAGTCTTCACTCCTCTCTTTTGTCCCATATTGGGCTCTAGCTTCCCAGTTTCCTATAATCTGCCTCTCGCCCTTAGAAACACATCTAATGGCCCTGCAAAAGCCTACATTTTCGAAACCAATGAGAAGAAAATATCTTTTGTGGGGGATCTAGGACATGGAACTTGAAAAAGAGATTCTGATAGAAGGAGGGCGGTTGAAAAGTGAGAGAAAGACAAGGCAGATGAGAAAGGCTGGTGGGCTTCACAGGAAATGACATCACTGCACACACCAGCTTCAACACTCTCTCAGGCATGAAGGAGCACCTGGGTGAGGTAACGATGGCTCCTCTGTCCTCCCTCCACCACTCTGGTTTCTAAAACTGAACTGTCAATTTCCACTTGGCAAGCTTTTTAAATTTTGTTTGGGGATTTGCGGTTGTTTCTGGGGTTTCATTGTTGTTGGCTTTGTAGTATTTTGCTTATTCAAAGGGTCTTACTATATTAGCCTGGCTAGCCTGGAACTCTCTATGTAGACCAGGCTGGCCTTGAACTCACAGAAACCCTCTTGCTTCTGCCTCCTGAGTGCTGGGATTAAAAGTGTGCAACAACATGCCCAGCCATGTTTTGGATTTATGAGATATGGTCTTGCTATGTAGTCCAGGTGAGCCTTGAACTCATAGCAATCCTCCTGCCTTGGCCTCTTTAAAAAAAAAAATAATAAGACCAGCCCTCTAGATGAGGAGCTAGAGGCAACTAATGGCTGCCAAGTGAGGAAGAATCAGAGCCCCCTGATAGGTTATCCAATCCCAAGAAGTCAGCCCTCATTTATACATAAAATCTTAGCTCATATACATATGAGCAACACTAAATATATTCAGCAGGCTTTATGTGTATATATATATATATAAAATATATCATTGTTATCTATACATATATTATTGTTACATGTATGTAACATATATATGTAACAATAATAGTTAAAGGAGAAGCGGTCATGAGTTTGAGAGGGAGTTCAATGGGACCCAGAAGGAGGTGAAGGCAGGGAAAGGTGTGGATACAAATACAGCACTCATGTATGAAATTCTCAAAAAATGTAAAAAAAAAAAAATTAAGGGACTATTAAATTTGTGATAGAAGGAAAAAGGTAAGATAAGAATCAATAATAAAGAAATCAAATAACAATGAGAAATCTGTTTGGTTTGGCTTTTGTTTTTTTCAACACAAAGTTACTCTGTGTAGCCCTGGCTGTCCTGGAACTCTTCTGTAAACCAGGCTGGCCTCCAACTTAGAGATCCACCTGCCTCTGTCTCCCACCCATCTGTTTTTCACACATACAATTTTTTAATATAGAAAAGGGAACAAAAAGATTCACAAGAAAATATCCATACAGGACTCTTAAATATCCAAAGAAATGGCCAACTTGATGTAAGACAAATGCCAAATAAAGTTAGACAGATGAGGCCTCATCCTGACCTAACCCAGTGCACGCATCTTAAGGTTTGGTGACACACTGCTTCGGAAAGTCTGTGGGAGACAACAGACATCTGCTGCTGACAGGACTATACATGGACACCTTTACAGGGGAGGTTTTAATTATCAAAATTATCCATGCATATCTCCTCTGATCTATCCATTCCACTCCTGAAAAAATGTACCTTGTGGCAGAGTAAGATGACTGTGGATCCTGAAAAAAGGGCTGTGGTCCACTAATAATATTGAGAGAATATTGAGAGAAACAAACCAAATGTCTACCCACAGACACAGGTCAGACCACCTGGTGGAAGAGCTGTGCTGAGGGTCAAATGACAAGGAATGACATGTGTTTACATGGAAGGACCTCCAGGAAAGAGATAGATGTAACTGGCTTCCGTTTAGAAGTTTAGCCAGGCAGTTGTGGCAGACACTTTTAAATCCATCACTCACTCAGGAGGCAGAGGCAGGCAGATCTCTGAGTTTGAGGCCAGCCTGGCCTATGGAGCAAGTTCCAGGACAGCCAGGGTTACACAAAGAAACCCTGTCTCAAGAGAGGGTTGGGGGGAGAGAAGGAGTAGAAAGAAAAAGAAAAGGAAAGGAAAGAGAGAGAAAATAAGATTAGATATTTGTAACCATTATACATGTGAAAGAGAGAAAATAAGATTAGATATTTAGGAAATGCACAGGCGCACAAGGAAGATGTGGAACCTTGTTTGAGACTACTGAGGGTGTGTGTGTGTGTGTGTGTGTGTGTGTGTGTGGGCG